CCTGCAGACATGCACACAGACAGAATATTGTATACATAACAAATAAATAAATAAATATTTTTAAAAAAATTAAACATAAAGTAAAATCCCCCCCCCTCAAAAGTAGTTTTTCATTTATTTCTGTTTGCTTGCATGCATGTGTGTATACCACATGCATGACTGGTACCCATGAAGGCCAGAAGAGGGCATCAGTCTGAAACTGGAGTTGTAGATGGTTGTGAGTCACTGTATGAGTGCTGGGGACCGAATACAGTCCCTCTAGAAGAACAGCAGGTACTGTTAACCCCTGAGCCATCTCTCTAGTCCCAAGGGAGATTCATTATTTCTGAGAGCTTCTGAATGGACGGACGTCCCTTAACGTCCCTACAGCAGAGCTGGCTCCCACCTGGGAAGACTGTTCCATCACAAGGAGAATCCCAAAGTTCCTTCCTATCCTTGTTTACTCCTCAAGCCTAGGACACTTTACTCACGGGACCCTCAGGTATGAGGTGCTCCAAGACATCACAGGCTTCTTCCAGGTGTCTGACTGTGACCCTCTGGATGGTACAGAGAGCACTGCCTTGCCTGCTGCGTAGCTGTTGGCAGCTGTTGGGTTTGGGTGTTCCCTCATAATCCATCCTGTTGTGTTTGTGTGTTTAAAAGCCTGAGTGACAAGAGACCCTGGCACTAGATAGGCTGAGAACCTGGCTGGAATCAGGCAAGCCTTATTTCCTGACATTTGTTCCTTCTGTCAGCCTTTTCTGCCTCTGTCCCTTGGAAGCGTGCCTGGGCTGTGCCCTGAGGTGTGGGTACTATCTACAAAGCCAGGAACATACAGCAGGGCTCATGTGTGCTCCCATGGCTACTTGGTGGTTACTTAAAGATGGCTGACGTCTGGCATAGTGACCAGAGAACTGTAAGAGTTAGACAGCACGTTGCTGTCACACCCAGCTATGACCCTGAGCTCACCTAGTGCTGCCAGCAGCATTTGAGATGGTATTCTCACCCACACAACAAAGACAGAAGCTGGATGTGGCTGGAAGAATGGCTGGGCAGGCAGGCCTTGGGGGTAGATTCTGAGGCAGATTCTTTTTTGTTTTGTTTTTGGGGGTCTCTCTGTTATAGCTCTGGCTGTCCAGGAACTTGCTGTATAGACCAGGCTGGACTTAGACTTCCAGATATTTGTCTGCCTCTGCCTTCCTAGTGCTGGGATTAAAGATGTGTGTGTGCACTGTCCCCCTGGCTCTGTTGTGCACCGTGCCCCCTGGCTCTGTTGTGCACTGTCCCCCTGGCTCTGTTGTGCACCGTGCCCCCTGGCTCTGTTGTGCACCGTGCCCCCTGGCTCTGTTGTGCACTGTCCCCCCCCCCCCCCCCGGCTCTGTTGTGCACCGTGCCCCCTGGCTCTGTTGTGCACCGTGCCCCCTGGCTCTGTTGTGCACCGTGCCCCCTGGCTCTGTTGTGCACCGTGCCCCCTGGCTCTGTTGTGCACCGTGCCCCCTGGCTCTGTTGTGCACCGTGCCCCCTGGCTCTGTTGTGCACTGTCCCCCCGGCTCTGTTGTGCACCGTGACCCCCAGCTCTGAGGCTGACTCTGACTAGTGAAGTTCCTTAAACATGGGGGCAGTTCCTGGGATGAAGAATGGCAATGAGCTTGTTCTTTTGGGACTAGGAATGGGTGGGGACTGCTAGGATTCTGCAGCCTGTGGGGTGAGCAAGTGCTGTGTGGAGGCTTCCCTGGGCCCCTAGTGGGTCTCAATTTCTGCTGTGGGTATTTAGTCACCATGATCTTAGCAGTGTGTGCAGGCCTCTTTTAGAATCCCAAGCTCACTCTCCACTGTCTCCAAAGCACTAGCCAAAGGCCCTCTGCCTTTGGCAAGTTGCCATGCCTTGTGAGGGTTTCTCCAGCTACCTACTGTCTTTGTTTACTGGGCATAGGCATCCACAGGAAACACTGCCTGTCTGGTTTAAGAGTCCCCAATCTGTGCTGTGTGGCTCCTGCTGGCCACAAATCCCTGAGGCTCTGCCTGGCTGTTCTCTGTACTGTCTGAGGCTAAAGGCAAGTGCTAGAGACAGCGGCCACATTGGCCACAGCTCATCTCTGGAATGCCAGGCTCTACTGTATCCTGTGGGCCCGTATTGTCCTGCCCCTGTTTCTGTCCTTGGTCAGCATGAGTGTCTCAAGTATTCTGAGGTAGATGTTTGGAGGTGGGAGTGAGGAATCCCACAGACCCCACAGTGTGGGGTATGGAGGGCTGGGGCCGGGTGGGCACATGCAGCTGACTCTTCCTTGCTTTGGGCTCTATGGTATCTGCAGCCCTGACTGTCCCTGGCCTTCCCAGCACAGGTGCAGAGGCTCACACTCAGTGGCACCTGTTCTCAGTGTGTCTTTGCCCTTGGGATGTGGGGGAAACAAACCTCTACTGTCTGAAGCCCCAGAGAGGAAGTGGCCGCAGGGCACTGCTGTGGCCAGCCCAGCTAGCTCCTCCCTGATATAGTCTGATAATGGCCTTATGCTATTGAACCTTTGGAGGCAGGGTTGCCTCTTGTAGACCTGTCCTGGCCTTAGCACGTGGACCCAGAGCCCACCTTGTAGCACGATTAATAAAAACCCCGAGACAAATATTGGGATTCAGCCTCAAAGTCAGAAAAGCAAAACAGCCAGCCACTGACTCTTACCTCTACCTTTGCCAGGGTTTGCTGTCTTCCTATAATTTGTTAATTTCATCATTGGTGAATGATACTGCAATCTCTGCTGGGTATACCTGGCTTGTAGGTACTGTGGGCTGTTTTTGAGGCCCCTAGAAAGGTAACTGACTGGTTCCAACTGGCCCTCCAGAGGGAAGCACTATGGTCTGTCCCAGGCCATGTCTCAGAGGCGTCTGCAGGGTCCTCTGGTCTCACAGGTGCCCTTCAGCTTCACCCTCACTTTTGCAGCTTGGTGTAAAGGGGAAATTCCTGTCGTCGTCGTCTAGTTTTAAGACTTCATTGTTCTGTAAGAGTTCTTTGGACTTTTTATGAAATATCTCAGAACTGTTCAAGGTACCTGCAGATTCCTCTGTTAGCTCCAGGGGCTTCCCCATCTCATGTGAAACAACTGGGCTGCTTAGGAGACTTTGACCTTAATACACCAGTCTGGCACCCTCTCCCCCGCCTTCTGCACAGGAAGCAGCCTTGCCCAGTGGTCCTGTTCTCCAGCCTTTTCTGCTGGGCCACAGTCTGGCTTATGAGGCTGCCTGGGAGGTGTGTCATACTCCCTGCCCCCTGGGTCTCTGGAGTTTTTAAGTCGGCACCAGACTAGACTTGTGGCTTTTTCTGTGAGAGAACAGAGCTCACTTTCTGCACCTGCTCCAGCCAGCGTCTGCTTAGACAGGAAGCCCCACCCTGGTGTGCAACACCACCACCCCTTCTGCCTTCACTGTGGGAGGGATCCTTGCAATTCCGGAAGTGGGTTCTTCTGCCCCAGCCAGCATCCTGGGTATCTACTTCTGCAGGGGGCACACTTGGCCTCTGCTGAATGACACTATGACCTTGTGACTCATCTCCTCTAGAAAGCTGCAGCACAACTGAGCCGGTTTGGTGTCGTTTTTTCTTGGCTGTTTGTCTGTCTGTCTTTGAAGAACATGCACCCGGCTGTACCCTAGGACCAGCACCGCCTCATCCCTTACACCAGCACAATCCCTCAAGAGAGTGGCTCCCTATCCCAGGCCCCTGAACACAGGGGTCCTTCCAGATACCTCCTTATTCTTGGAAGGGCAGCAGGCCTCCCAGGCACCTAGGATGGGGACCCAGCCCAAGCACGACACGTTACCTGGGCCTTGGTGAAGGCTTCCATGAGGACTGATCCACCCCTCCTATCTAAATTTCATGGTGGGAAACCTATCACAGAAGCACCTTGACTGCTTGCTTCTGTGCCCCTTCCAGGCAGCAAGGTTTCAGCCTTACTTCTGCTGGGCCAGTTGTATGGTGGGGTGTTTCCCCCAAGGATTCTGGAGAAGAACCCTGTTCTTTGGTATACTTGAGGCCCCCTGCTAGAGGTCACAGACCTCACTTTGGCTTTACCTCTCCCCCTCCCCCAAGCCCAGGTAACTTCTAGGCAGCGTGCCTGGTACCGCAGTGTAAGCCCTGGTATATCTGCTGGTTCTACTGCCCTAAGGTCCCTATCATCTTCTTAGGCCCTAATTGGGGGACAGTAGCTTAAGTTCTGTAGGCGGCTCTGCTCTGGGAGAGGCCCATGCTGTAATTAATTATCTTGCATAGAATGTCCCCCAGGTGGGGGGTGTAACATTTGGGTGGACGGTCACACACTTTCCCACACAGATTGGCTCAGGTGTGTTCCACTTAGTGCTGGATGTCAGAACGAACCACAACTGGTTCCTGAGATAAGCTAGGGCACTGAGTAACTTCTGCAAGAGTCTGACCGCAAAGGCAGTGTGGAGGCACCTGTGATGTGTGCCGTGGTCTTTCCTCTGGGGAGAGGGGTATCTCTAATGCTCCCTAATGAAACACTGACCAAGGCCACCCAGAGGGCAGCCCTCCCAGGCTGCTTCTGAGCTTGAGCATAGCTGCTTATTGGCTCACATTTGAGCCTGTGGTCACTGCTGGGTCATTTAACCCATTCCTGGCATGGGCCATGGAGTGGAACTGATCCCTTCCAGCCTTTCCAGCAACATATATTATATCTGTGTTCTAAGGAAGTAGTGTAGTCTGAAGGCAAAGAGCCTAAGGGTCAGAGCACCGTGGAGGCCAGACTGGATCTTGGCAACCCACACAGCCGGCTGCAGCTGTGTGTGAGGTCACCTCATAGCAGCCCACAGCTGCACAGTGTCCCCTCTATTCTCGTGGGACGCCCTTGCCCCTTCACAGAGGCGGCAGGCTTACCTTTCTGCTCAGGGCCAAGAGCGCACTGTGTTCATGGCTCCATACATTTTGGGTCCATGGGGAACTTGCTACCATGGAGTTGGTAGGAGGACTAGACCCTGCCTGAGCCCAAGGATCCCAACAGGGCCTTTTGTGTTGATCACAGGTTTCAGAGCCCCCAGCTTCCATAAGACCCAAAGCAGACGACACTTCCTCACAGTCCCCTGCGTCTTCTGAGAAGGACAAGCAGTCCACTTGGCTGCGGACCTTGGCTGGTTCCTCCAATAAGGTGCTATGTGGGAACCTGTCTGGGGTCTTTGGGGAGGGTGCCAGGCCCTTCTTGGAGCCAACTCTGGCTCATCCTGGTCTCAGGACTCCAGTGGCCTGTTTTCCTGTAGTCACTTACATAGGGACTCTCTTGACAGAGCCTTGGCTGTGCCCACCCTCGCCAGCGCCTTTCTGCTTTCCGGCCCTGGTCCCCTGCAGTGTCAGCGAGTGAGAAAGAGACCTCCCCACACCTCCCAGCCCTGATTCGAGACAGGTGAGTGAGGGGTGCACAGGAGGGCCAGACTATGGTTAGCAGACTGCAGTGGTGTTGGTGTCTTTAGTCCTAGGATGAACTCTCCAGAGCTTTGAAGTCTTGGGGGAAGTTCTGAGCTCACAGACCTGTCTGTTAAAAAAAGTTAGGTTTCCAGCAGGGCATGGTGATCCACACCTTCAGTCCCAGCACTCAGGAGGCAGAGGCAAGTGAATCTCTGAGTTTGAGGTCAGCCTGATATAGACAGCAAATTCTAAGCCAGCTAGGGTTTTATAGAGATAGATAAATCAGTAAATAATAGCTTCTCATGGGCATGAAGGTCCAGTTGTGTGCCGGCCTACCCCAGCCTCTGGGGGAGATTTGTGTTCTCATTGGAACCTTGACCTTGTGATTTAGATTGGCTGAGTGAGCAGGGCTCATCCCACAGCTCATAGGGACCTGTGAGGCAGACGTACCCCGGCTAAGCATCTACGCCTCTTACAGCTTTTACTCCTACAAGAGCTTTGAGACAGCTGTGGCCCCCAATGTGGCCCTAGCACCACCAACCCAGCAAAAGGTTGTGAACAGTCCGCCATGCACCACCGTGGCCTCCCGGGCACCAGAACCTCTTACCACTTGTATCCAGCCCCGGAAGCGGAAGCTGACCATGGAAACACCAGGAGCCCCAGATGTGCTGACATCTGTGGCTGTCCCAGAGGAAGACAAGGATTCTGAGGCTGAGGTGGAAGTTGAAAGCAGAGAGGAATGTAAGTATGGATTGGAACCTGCTCCTTTGGGCATTAGTACAGGGGATGGGGGAGGGTGGGACACATGGTATGACTGGGGTGCCTAATGCTGTGTCTTTTCTGTCTGTCCTCAGTCACCTCCTCCTTGTCCTCGCTGTCCTCTCCGTCCTTTACCTCGTCCAGCTCTGCCAAGGACCTCAGCTCCCCGGGCATGCTTGCTCCACCTGTGGTTGCCCCTGATGCTACCACCCATGCCGACGCCCCAAGTGGGCTGGAGGCGGAGTTGGAGCATCTGCGGCAAGCCCTGGAGGGCGGCCTGGATACCAAGGAAGCCAAAGAGAAGTTCCTCCATGAGGTGGTCAGGATGCGTGTGAAGCAGGAGGAGAAGCTGACGGCAGCCCTGCAGGCTAAGCGCAGCCTGCACCAGGTGAGGAGGGCCGCAGGCGGGCACTGTGATGTGCAGAGTTCTTCTGTGCTTCCAGGAAGGCTCCCACAGTGCTCTCAGCTGCAGCTTCCCCTGTGTGTGGGGCTCCCTGAAAGAATTGGCATGTTAGTTGGTAAAAGCCAGTGTTGATGGTTGAGGGAAGAGCGGCTGTACTAGTGATGCCTCTCTCTCTCTGTCAGGAGTTGGTGCGTTCTCCAGCAAGACGTGGGCTTTGCATATAGAGTGCAGGGATGTCTCCAAAAGGGACTTAGCCGCAGGCCTCTGGAAGTGCATGCTGGGAAGGTGCACGTGCGCTTGCAGTTACTGCTGGCTGGGCCCCTGCTCCTCCAGCTGCAGCCGCTGCAGCCATTCCTCTCCTCCTTTCCATGCACGAATAAGGGGGGCCCAGTTCTCAGGCAGCTTGGGGAGTAAAGAACTTAGCCGTTGGTCTTCGCCAGGGCTCAGCATAAGGTTTTGCTGCAGGCTCAACCTCTGCTGAATTCACACCCCAGCCTGAGTCTGGCAGCTCTGGGGGCAGCCTCACATGCGTGGGCTTTAGCACAACACAACCCTGTCAATCCTCAGGGCTGCAAGATTTCAGATGTTCTGCTCAGAGTGAGTCTTAGTCATTGCCTCCTCCTCTCTGCCCCATTCTGGGTGGAGGTGTGATTTCCCACATGATTATTCATGGGGGACGGTGTCATGCTGCCTTCTAACAAGGGGGACGGGCATGGGAAGTACCAGAAGTAAGTGGCTCCATCTGGCTGGGGGCAACTTGAGGCCTCGGGTGCACAGTGTCTGAGACTGTCTCCCTGGTGGTTTCCTCCCCTACCCGTGAGGCATGGCATGTGCATTTGGGAGGAGGAGGTGTGAGAAGGTTCTGCGGCAGCCTTGATATAAGCAACCAACAGCTCGTAACAAACTCTCTGCTGGGCTCTGGGGGAAGGACACTAGCAGTCAGGTTAGGAGACTGTGGGTGCAGGGTGGGTGCAGAGGTGCTGGCTGGCAATTCTTAAATCTGTCTGCCGCGTGTCCTCCCAGGAACTAGAATTCTTGCGTGTGGCCAAGAAGGAGAAACTGCGGGAAGCCACAGAGGCCAAGCGCAGTTTGAGGAAAGAGATCGAGCGGCTCAGAGCTGAAAACGAGAAGAAGATGAAAGAGGCCAATGAGTCTCGGGTGCGCCTGAAGCGAGAGCTGGAGCAGGCACGGCAGGTCCGGGTGTGTGACAAGGGCTGTGAGGCCGGCCGCCTGCGTGCCAAGTACTCAGCCCAGGTACTAGGGTGGGTTGGCTGGTAGACTGGCGCATACAGTGGACAGCTGCTGTCACAGATGCAGCATGCTAGACTGCCCGTCTCAGGCTGATCTGTGAGGTGATGAGGAGCTGTGCCTGGAGGTCCCGAGGTGCATCCATAGCCACAGGTGGAAGTCCAGGTGTTCCAGCTCCGTACCGGGACCACTGTGGCCCCAGAACATAGGCTTCCCTTCCTGCTGCTGGCTTGGGCAGCAAGCTCTAAGCTAGGATGAGGAGATAGACCTTGGTAACAGCCCAGAGCTTAAGGCTCCATCCCAGGGAGGCAGGGAAAGTCTTCTACATCTGTAGTACTCTTTGGTTCCATCTTGGGTACTTCAGAAGTACAGGATGGAAGTGGAGTCAGCCTCTGCTCTGGGTGGACATCTGGGCCCTCCTGGGAGCCATTCAGGTAGAATGGGGACAGACATGGCACTACAGCTAACTAGGAACTCTAAAGGGAGGTGGGGGCTTGGGTGGGAGTGCTGGTGTCGGGCATTACTGACCACGCAGCATCCCTTTCAGATTGAGGACTTGCAAGCTAAGCTGCAGCATGCAGAGGCGGACCGAGAGCAGCTTCGAGCTGACCTGCTGAGGGAACGTGAGGCCCGTGAGCACCTGGAGAAGGTGGTGAAGGAGCTTCAGGAGCAGCTGTGGCCTCGGCCACGGCCTGAGAATGTGGGTGGTGAAGGCAATGCCGAGCTGGATCCCTAGCCTGGGCAGTGCCTGCCACTGCCGCGTGGACCTCCATCTGTGCGCAGAGGGCGGCGGGTATGTGCTCTGCAGGCCCAGCCCCTGCCTCTGCAGCCACACAGCACAACGTCTCTACTGTGCCTATTACCAAGCGAGTGTTTGTAACCACATACTTTTGGAATCCACTGCAAAATTTTCTACTGGCCAAGTTCAAGTGAGCAAGCCATGTCCCCCAGCTGCAGCCAGAGTTGAGACTGGCTCTGTGGATTGCAGCTGGTCCTCTGCTTGCTGGAACATGCTAACATTTACACTTTGTTATAAGCTATTTAAACCAGTAAGGAGACTTGATACTCAGAAAATCAACATGTTTTTTAATGACTAACTGTAAAAGGCCCCTACACGTGACGCCATCTGGACACCCACTCTGGTGGGGGTGGCACCCACCCACCACCGTCCTGGGAAGCCATCACCGCTCATCTGTGCCCGCGGCTGCAAGAGGACAGCAAGGGTTTTCTTCAGAGTCTATTTTTTCAGCAACAAGGACCCCAGTCTTCCTGCTGCTGCCAGGAAGAGCAGGGAGAGCGCCGCGTGCGAGATGAGCCCCAACACTGCCCGCCTTACCGCCACTGCCCCGCCCACCAACATCACCACTAACCCTGCCCTGCAGGCACGGGGGCCTGAGCCACAGTCTGTTGAGGCCTCTGGATGCCCCCACCCACCTACACCATGAGGGGCTAACCTGTGTTAGGCAGTGGCCATGGTCCAGTGTCATGTTGTGTTGTTCCCCATACACACCACCACCCACCCACAACCCACACGCTGCTTGACCACAGCAACCCCTCTTCAATGCGGCAGACATCACTCCTCATCTTGGGACTGAGGCTGCAGCATTGGAACAAAAACAGCATTATATCACTCCCCCCCCCTTTTTGTTGTTCATTTAAACATGTATCTAGAACTGCACTTTGTCAGACCCCCCCTTCTCTTTTTACTCCCAGTTAACTGAGGTTTTTACCGATTTCTAGAGCAGTTCAAACCCTAAGTGCTCGAGTGCTTAGAAATCCCCTCTGGTGCTTGGTTGAACAAGGGAATCACAAGAAATGAAAATGCAGAGACTGAACTTGGGGGTCGTTCTGTGCCTTCCAGCATCTTGTACAGCAAACCCTGACTTGTCTTTTTACCCCCAAAATATCGTCTTCAGTAGCGATTGAATCTGCCACTGTCAAAATACGTTACTTGCATTTATTCCAAATAATCTCGTTTACTCTTAACTGTTTATGCAAATTGTATAAGGTTTCTTCTGCCCAAGCTTGAAAAATGATTCCCCAGTAGACAAGAGGCCACCACCCATCCTCCAATTGTGTTTATTTCCATGAGAAGATCACACAGAAGCCCTCCGCTCCAGTCCTGACAGGGCAGCCATGACCTGAGGGAAGGTGGAGGTGGCTTGCGCAGGTACAAGTGACCTCAAGGACTGTTGCCTGCATCTGGAGACTGCTAAGCCCTGACCTTTGGTGCCGAGGTCGTCTGCAGGGTTTTGCCCTTGGTTTACTGAGGGGGTCTGGGCTGCTGCCGGGTCCCCCCTTCTGAAGTGCAATGCAAAAGGGACATCATGTATACACAGCGTTTATTTGGATTTTTTCTTTGGCTTTTTTTTCCTCTCAGTTATGAAACTTGTATGCATGGATTTCACATCTCCATAGCTAGACCCATCCATGGGCATTATGACCTTGTCTCCTAAAGGGTCAGTTTTGTTACGCAACACGAAGAATGCTGTTTTCAGCCTTGTTTTTCTAGAGTTGTGCTTTTCAGTCATTTCTTCAAGGAAAACTAAATGATTTAGTTGGAGCAAAGCTTTAAGTGTGTTGGTGTGCTTCTGTGTGGCTGTCCCTGTTGTAGGAGGTCACAGTGATTTGGGCCCCTTTGAGCCTTTGGTTCCAGGGGCACTTGCATTTCCCAGCAGAGCCTCTCCTTGCCACAGCTCTGTCACCATCGGGTTCCTGGCCTCCCTGGTCCAGCACTGGCCCCGTTATGGGAAGGAAGTGCGCTGTCTGCAGCAGAGACTCTCCTCACATGCCAGAGTGACTCCGGTTTGGGAAGGGCTTGTCATCTCAAGAGCTGTTCCTCCTGGGTCCCTCCTCCCCCTGCTTCTGGTGAGGCTCTTGGAGGCTGATGTGGGCCCTGTGAGACCTAGAGACTGGGTCATCCGGCTGCTTCTGTCCTGGGTGAAGCTGGCGAAGCACTGGGTACTTTTTGCTGCTGCCATGGAAGGCAGCCCTGCTCTCTGCAGGACCTGCTGTGGACTGAGGGCGACCAGGCACTGCACGCCTGGCTCCCTACTAGGAAGGCTGCAAATTTCTTTTCAGAGAAAGGGAGGAGAGGTTTCCATCATCTTGGCTGTCGACTCTCCCTGTGTGTTAAACCCTTTATCAGTTTACTCATCATTTCCATCCTGAAAGATTTTTAACGAAGGGAAAAACCAACAGCAATAACTCACTGGTGAGCAGCTAACTCCTACCCACGACACCCTGCTTTTCATACAGAACTAGCCAATGTTAAACAACTCACATGTAAATACTTTCCCATTTCACACCGCTGTATTATACGTGTAAACTTTTCTTACCTGCTGGTTGTCTTGCTTTCTGGGTTGTTTTTAACTAAGGACAAAGTGCTCATCTGCCAGAGGGGACAGAGCGTCTTGTGGCATTTCCCATGTGGTGTCCTCTGTGGCACTCATTAACCCCAATTGCTATGCAGAGTATCCTCTGTGGTCCCTCCCCACGTGCCCACCCTGGGGCTGGGGAGGGGGCTCTTGCGTTAAAGTCAGGATTCTCAAATGACATTTTCATCAATTAAAGAAAAATAAGCCCACCTCTCCCTTCATAACTGCCCAAGCCCTTGCACCCTCTAGTCCTGCGCTGCTGCTAATGACAATATGATGGCTTACTCTGCTACTCGAGAACTATTTTTATGTAATTAATGTATGCTTTCTTGTTTATAAATGCCTGATTTTCAAAAGGAAAAAAGAAAAAGCTTGGCATATTTATCTATTTCTCTGTGTACCTGTTAGTCCTTTTGCCCCCCTCCCCCCCAAACAGATGACATTGTACAATAAAGGACTTTGAGAGTACTGTGGGCGCTGGCAGCCCCCATAGGAAATGGGGGAGGGCATCTCTACAGGTTAGACCTGGGGCTGTGGTCAATGCTTCCAGGAACTCTGGACTGAGAACCTTGACCAGGTTTGGACAGGACTCACAGTGGGCAGTGCTGGGCAGATGGACCGGACATGACCCTTCCTAGCAGGGCTTCCACAAAGATACACTGGCTCAAAACTCCCTGGAGCCAAATAAGAGTACAGCTCCCCAGGGGCATTACCCACACCTGTACTGTGGGGAACGCTTGGCCGTCCCTGCCTCTTGTTCATAGAGCCAGAATCTTGCCCCAAGGTCTGCAGCCTTCATCACAGGAGCCTGTCCCTGTGCCTCCATGGTGGGGGGAGGGGTCCCCTCCATCTGACTTGGCCTCCTGTCCTGCTTCAGGTTCTCCTGGGAACTGCAGAAGCATGCTTAGCTTGGAAAAGGCCACCATCCTAGCTGGACTTCTTATCCACCAGACCCAGGGGTTCAGAAGAATACAGTTGGACCCTGGTGTGGTGGCTCACATCTAATTCCAGCACTGGAGAGGCCAATGGAGTTGAATTACCAGAGGTTCAAGACCAGACAGGTCTACATACTTCCAGAACAGCCCGGTCTGTCTGCCTTTTGAACTTTGTCTCGCAGGGCGGGGAGGGGGGGCAGTTAGCTCATCTGTCACTGAGGCCCTGGCAGCTTAGCCATGTACTGGAGGGAGGGCCCACTCAGCCTGGGGTCTGACTTGTGTTCTTACCAGTGACTATGGATGGCTGTTTGGAGCCATCTTTATAGCCGGTGGCAGCCTGAGAGAAGGAATACGGCCAGAGGGAGGCCTGGTTGTGAACAACCTTGGCACCAGGAGGCAGGGGAAAGGCTTTCTCCAAGGCTCCAAACCCGGTCTCCTGCCTCCAGGGTTGCCCTAGACTTCATCTCTAGGTATGAACTTAAGAGGATTATAGGTACTCATGGCCCAGAATCCAAAAGGAACCAGGACCCCTGGAAGTGTTCAGAAAGGGGAGGCCCGGGTGGAAAACCACCATCCCAGGTTTGGCTGAGGTCTCCTTTATCAGCCAAGGCCTCTGGACATGGCTGCCCCTTCAGACTCAGCTGCAGCTCTTGATCACCCTTCTTGGCTGGTACCTGTTTCCAACTTTCCCAAGACCAGGGGAACCCCTGAGTAGAACTGGCAACTCCCAGGTGGCCCTAGTTCCTATCTGTGTTCTGTGCCTTGCTCACCCTCATTTCAATTGTACCTCTTTGTCTCCTGACTCCTACCTGTCGCCCTAGAATTCAGGAGGCCAGCCCCAGGCCAAGCCATCATGCTGTTATCTGGAAAGACCGATCCCAGGCTTCTTCATGGAAAACCTAAGCCAATGGCCTGTTACCATGAAAGTCAGTCACCGTGCCCATTCCCACTGTGGTGAGAGCCTGTACCTTCTAGATGTCCTCCCTCGGGCCATCCAGCCTAGACTGTGGCCTAGGTCTGCCACCCCTATCTATCCCTGCCTGGTACCTTCTCTGAAGCCCCTCTGACCATTTTGGGGTAACAGACTTCTCCCTGGCCAGGATGAGGTAGAACCAGGCCCCACCATGGAGGCCTGAGTTGGAGGAGGACTCTGCCTGCTCGGCAAGAATTTTGGTTCTGTTTTTGGTGGCCTGGGTGTTGGAATCCTTGGAGTCCAGTCCATACAAGTTCTCCAAAAGCAAAGGGTAGATTTGGGCATGGAAGCCCTCCCCACAGACACCCAACATGTGTTCAGAACTCACCCCACCCCAGCCAGGCGACCCTGGGGAGGGAGTGAGGATGGGGAGATTTGAGATCTGGATGCCTGTCCACCCCTACCACCCCATGTTCTTGGTTGGTGACGCATACAGCCATCTGCGATCATGCCTGTGCCAGGTTGGTAGGAGTCTTGGCGTCAGGGGCACTAAGCCCTGGGACAGGTGGCCCACTGCAGGTGGGCACAGGCAGGAGGACTTGGCTAGCCTCGCTTGTCTTCACGGCATCCTGTGCTGAGCCAGGTGTCCAGCCAGTCTGGGATGGGCCTTCCTCTCCCTGAGATGGACCTGGCAGCCCTCCCTGGTAGGAAGCTGAGCCCAGGCTCTGGTCCACATTGATTTTTATACATAGAGGCCTATTTGGGAAACCAGGGAAGCCGGGGGGAACTCAAGGTGGGGACCCTTTCTAAAGTCTCGAGCAAGGACCTACCTGAGGGTGCCCCCTCAGCCCTCCCTGTAGCTGTTTGGTGGCAGCTCTCAAATGTCAGGGGCCATGTGTTCAACTCCATAGCTAAAAAGGGAGCTGCCTTGCTTAGCCAGACCCAGGCCACTAGCCCAGCCTGACTTAGGCAAGCCAGGTTTCTCATCCATGGCTAGCTGACCGTCTGTCCCAAACACTCAAGTTTTACCCTCTTTCTTTTCTAGTCTCCAATTCTGACTCCCTCCTCATCTTGGCTCCTCCTGGGTGTGGACCCTGATCCAGCAGCAGCTGCTCCTCACAAGGGACCATTCCACACTGGTGGCACTCTGCCTGCCTGTTGAACTGGGAGGGAGCTAGTTGTCCCAGGCTTTTGAGAAACCAGAGGAAGTGGTGGCTGACCCTAGAACGGGGAAACAAGGGGTATCTTCACCCCAGTCCTGTCCCGTGCAGCTGCTACTGCCAAACTGAGACTGACCAGGAACACTGCTGTGGGGACATCCAAACCTACATAGCTTGTCTATGTTAGGATGCAGAGGTTTCTTGATCTTGGACACCTGTCTGTGCTCTGGTATGTGTATGTGTGTGCACTGTGTGCAGGGCAGTGGATTGGAGAAGGGACCAAGGATATCTGCAGATCCTGGGACAGTCTTTTGTGCCCACCCCCTACCCCTGGGGAGAGAACCGGAGCCAGATGGATTTGTCAGACAGGGCAATAGGGCCTCGAGCATCTGGGAAGGCCAGGCCACAAAATTCAGAGGGAGGTCTTGTGTGCTGTACCCGCCTCTGGCTTTGGGAACATGGGGTTTCTGCTTGAGCCATGGTTCATGGATCACTGCAGCAAGAACCTCCTCACCCTGCCGTCTTTATGGGATGGACATGTGGTCCGCATCGCGATTTCCTGTTTCTATGGAATAATGGCTCCAATAGAAGGCTCTGGTGGGCTGGGCAGCGGTGACGCACACCTTTAATCCCAGCACTAGAGAAGCAGAGACAGGCGACTCTCGGAGTTCGAGGCCAGCCTAGTCTATAGAGCTAGTTCCAGGACAACCAGGGCTACACAGAGAAACCCTGAATGGGGTTGCGGGGAGCTCTGGTGGTTGTTGAGGAAGTTGCTCCCTCGATTACTGGAAGCACCATCGTCCTTCCCCATAGGGTTGGTTCCCCTGCGGTCCAATTTACCGAGGCCCCAATGGTAGCCCGGCTATAACTAATAGTGCTTGGTGTCCTGAGCTGGACAGACAAGGGGTCGTCTTCCACCCCGGCATCAAAGGACGGAAAGCCCCGTAGTTCACAACCTCTCCAGTGCGGTGTTCACCTACAAAACAGGTTTCTGGCTTCGTGCGGCCGCCTCCAACACCGCCCCCCCCCCCGGAGGGAACCATCGCGCCCTTCAACTTCCCACGTTCCCCGCTCTCCTTGGGACACGCGGGGACGGCCGTGGGCTGTACGGCTCCCGCTGGCCCAGGATGAACGGGCCCGGGAGGCGCCTGCTGCGGGGAAGCGCGATCGCGCCGGACTTCCT